AAAGGAATGGAGGGGTAGGAGGGAAAGGTGAATTTTAGACATCACAACACGTTAAGCAATTAAAAATAAAGGGCATTTTAATTTTGGAGGAAGCAGCATAGAAAATTAAATGGAAGGCATATTTTTCTTTAAGAATTATTTTATAAATTGTGTGTATATACTGTATGTACAGCAAAAGTAGGAATGCCATGGAACTAAAACCGCTTATTAATTAATTTTGGACTTGGTGCAAAATCTGCCCAATAAAAATACACGATAACAAACCTTTTTCTGCTATAAAAATTACTACGCTCTGATAAAAGGGCCGCAAGTCAAGCAAGCAGTAGACTTCTTAACCCCCACCAACTCCCTTCCCTATGAGTTTAGGTCACTTCAATAGGCCATAGGGAAAAAAAATTGGTGCAATCATTAGACTATGACATCTTTAGCAGAAAAAAAGTGTGCTGACATTGATTTTGGTAATTGCTTGCTTTTATTTTTTGTATAAAGGACAGGTTTTTAATACTTCCACTTGGGATTTTATGAACATGGTAATACAGGTTTGCAGAGCCAGGGGACTGCAAGATGGCATTGAAACACGATGGGGCCGGCAGTACCTGCAGCTGCCTCTTCCTTTACAGCTCTCACCCTCAACGATGCCTCCAAGGGTTTTGCCTTCTTTTGACTACATTTTCCCTTGCAGCCTTGCCGAAAACCTAAGGGATGACAGCACTTAAAAGCAGAAATCTTACAAGGGCCGTGACAAACAGCACGCAACCAGCTCTCGGTGAAATAACGCGTTTATCCAGACCGGTAGTAGAAGAAAACTGTCCCCTCTTTAGACTGCGTACTTCAGATAAATAAGATTATTTCGCTACAAGCTACTACAGGCTACGATATACTCACATAAATACATTAATGCTTATATGTGAATATGAATGTGTATATATTGGATACAGATAAGAAACACTTACGACAACGAGTAGATTACCAATAACCGCTGTAGCTTCTTGCTGGGTAAAGTCCGTCATCCAGACTTGACACGACGTACCCACGACGGCGGGTTTTGCCATCCCCTCCAGAGCACCCGGCGGGTCACCCTCACCACACCAGTGCAAAACACTTCCCCACCCTTCGTTAACGTGCCCCTGCCTCCGTACTTCACCGAGAAAGCCGGCTTGATGGGCTGGACTCAACACAAACCTCCCAGCTGCAAGGCAGGGGAAGCCTCCGCAGCCCCCTCCACCCGGGACAAGGTTTTTAGGGACTGCCTCAGCTTCTGCGCCAGCAGCGAGGAAAGCCAAGTACAAGGGAACTGCTGGACTCGGCTTTGTCAAGACTATACGTGAAAAGCTTGGTTTTAAGCCGTGGCAGCAACGTCAGGGACCCAATTTGCAGAAGGGGCGAGGAGCTGCAGTGACGGCGGAGCTGAGGATGCTCAGCAGCTCTGCAAATCGCAACTTAAAAAAAAAACATCATCCCACTCTTGGTGGTTTGAGAGGATCCTCAATATAATGCCTGTCCTCCTCTAACATACGAGCAGAGCTGGACCAAGCAAGTACAATAGGTCTCTAACAGACACGTGCATGCAGGAGACGGCTTCTTTCAGCATTAACTACATTACCGAAGCATCCCCTTACCAGAGCGGGAGCAGAAACGTGCTCCTAGTATTATTTACACAATATAAAGTGCATTACAATTTAATTATTGAACTGACAGACTTTCTGCCGGGACCGTACAATTTTGAAACAGAGGTGAGGGCTTGAATAGGAAATTCTCTCATGAGAAAAAGAGGTTCAGACTGGTGCTCTTCACCCTGTCCTCCTAAGGATTGTTTTTGGCCGTTCTTTCTAGTGCAAATAAGCTTGTGTTTTCTCAAGTTTAAGGGACGTGGCAGTTTCAGGGCATCAGGAACGAACATTTAAAACACATTAGGGATTCAGCATTCCCGAGCATCTCGATGGGCCCTTCTGCGCACAAGCGGCCCGCAATATCACCGCTCTCAGAAGCTGAAGACGCGCTGCCAAAAATAACAAGGAACCCGTTTCCGAATCTCACCGTTAAAGTCTTGCATTGCTACATTTTGAGTGAGTCTGTATTACCCTCCAAGGACAACATCTGCAAACATCGGTGCTTTCCATTGCGGTGGAAACCCATGGCTAATGGTTTAACCATGGGTGATCGGCTATGAACGTGAAGATCCCCATCCAGTTTTGGATACTAAGGTGCATCCCATGCCAGGGGAGTAAATGCATTAGTGGATCCTACGGGATACCTGTGTGCCAGAACCGAGCCCGACCCAGTAGCCAGCAGATGCTGAATTCCTGGGTGACACTTACAACAAACTAATGCCATCGGAAGGCCAATTCATTAACAAAAGATAAAGGCTTTTTTAAAAAAACAGGCAGCAATAAGGAAAGCCATTTCGCATCTTTTTTTTCTTTTAAAACGGTGAAGAAAATATCCCTTTCCAATCGCTTTGCCTGTCGCAAGTATTTTCCTCACTGATGCTACAGGAACACAGGGAAGGCATGATCACTTACAACAAACGCGGTCACTCAGGCTAATTCCAACGTAGGAGCTTTTACGATCCCTTGAAGCTAAAGGTAGGATGGGACGGGGAGATGTCAAACTCGTAGGGGAGGAATGCCACATAGAAACAGGAAGGAGAGCATAAAAAGTTTGTACATTCATAGCTCCAGTTTGTTGGAATATAAGTTAATCTTTAACTCCAGGCACTGTGACAGGCAGCAGCAGTCAGCAATACGCTAACATATGCATCAAGGACTCATTCACTAAATTCTGGTTTCACACCAATAACAGGATGTAGAGTTATTTTAATGTTAATTTTGTTCTTTTTTTTTTTAATTGACGTGTTAAACCATTGGGACCAAAGCCCTAAGAGCGATGATGAACCAGTACCCCGTTTAACCTCCAGCTGATTCATCACGGTCCGCTAGCTGTTTGAGTGGTGGAGCGAGAACATCTCTCCGAGAGTTGAAAAAGTACCTGAAAGAGCAATCTATGCAGAAACGGATGGGAGTTTTTGACACTAAGCCAAAGGCTTGGTTGCTGTAACTGCTATGTGTGGTTTTGCCTAAAGGGGGAATCACCTAAAACAGTGAAATTAACTTTGTTACTTCTTGTCACAACCGTAACATTTTCCTAAAGGTTCTTTGGTGACTTTGGTGCAAGCTTTTTTTTTTTTTTTTTCTTTTTTTTTTTTTTTTTTTTTAAGTTAAAACAGATCGAGTAGTTTTAGTACCCAAACTAAAGTCCAGATTATCCTCTTGGTTCCCAACCCTGCCGCCCCAACTTTTCTCGTTATGGTTAATGACGTTAACAGGTAATACCATTCGGATTCAGCGCGGCCATGCAGCGTGCAGGTGGGTCCAGACTAAGAGTGATGAACGGTCTGGTTGGAGATAAATACGTTTTTCAACAGACTAAAAAAAAACATGTAAAGGTTGCATGGCAAAATAGCTGGTCCACATGCACACTGGGCCACTCTGTAAAAAAAACGCGATTCAAATGATTATAAATATCTGATTAGACACAGTAATGCTTACTTAAAAAAGATCTTAAAGGTGGACAACACGTTATGTGAATTACCTGGAGCTCAATCAAACTCCCGCTGGTTTCAGAGGGGAAGGAGCTGACTGCCCAAAGGCTGGAAAAGCTCCTTTATAAATATTCATGTTTTAAGAAACAAAGAATTTTCAAAATCTTTCGTCAACCTCCTAAACAGATAATTATATATATTTTCCCTCCAGGCAGAGAGTTTATATCACGAGATGTAAAATTCACATTACAGAGACTTCAGCGGGACAACACCGAAACCTGTGATGGGCAATCAGGAATTGAATTGCTTGATGACAGCCCCAGCTCCGAGTGGGTGGGAAGGGGGTGATGGCAGGGCACGGATATTATCTCCTAACAACACCACCTGTAAAATCAACACGACAGAACACCCGATGCAGCATTAACCAAGGCTTCCGAAACACGCTACGGGTAAGTATGAGAGAGATGCCTTTTTATACTTATCTAATGGTGCACCAAACCCCCCAAAGGTCTTTCTCGCAGTGGGAGGAGAAAAACACCCGGGTATTTTCCTCACACGGGTAACATCACGACCGCATTAATCTCATGTTTGGGAGAGAAGCCAGGAGCCTCAGTCACGGCGGTCCCTCCACCTCCAAATACCTGCTCCACAGCTACCTGCTGGAACCCATAACATGCCTAATACAAAAATACCTTTTGACATTTTGGACAAATGCATTAAAAATAAAAAAATCACCAGCCTCGCATGGGCAGAACACATAGATGAGGAGTGTGTTATTATTCATTGCCATTAATTGAAAAGGCTTAGCACTTGAGTAGAGCTTCACTGTCCTGGGATACTTGGGTTATTCGGTCAGCACAAAACTACGAAATGAATAACAAATCTTCCGCTCTTCACCAGCACGTTATAAAGCTCTGACCAGTTATCGAGGTTTTACCCACACAGAATATCGTTTCAAACTCAATAACCAGCATATGCCAATTTTAAAACCTCTGCCTCTCCTCATACACATACCAGCAATTCACATGAAGTTGATTTTTGTCATAAACGCCCTATAGCTACGCTGCTCAGCCTTTTGACCGAGTACAAGCAGAATTCAGTCCTGGAAAACCCATCATAAACAGAAACCGACATATTTCAGCATAAGGTTTGGGGTTTTTTTTTTGGTATCACGTTGAAGTGCAACACAAGCCTTATCTAGACTATTTAAAGGTCAGAGTGCCAGATTTTTTTTTTTGTGCTGATACGCATACTTCCATAGTCTTCAACACTCGAAGCAGCTGACTCATACAGACTCGGGAGGTCGGTACTTTCATAAGACATACGGAGATGTTTTGGGCATAATTTAACATGATAACCAGACTCCCATAACATTACATAGTGGAGTTAGCAAGAACTACTGGAAAAGGACTTTACAAAAAAATGGGGCAACTTGAAATTACTATAGGTCAGTCCCTCTCACCAATTTCTGCTTGTTTTGTTTGTTTTGCCAGATGGCCAGTCCAATGCACTCTATTCGAGACCCTCTTGCTCTTCACCACTGTCCCCTCTGGCATCCATTCTTTTTTCTTTATGGCTGTTGTAAATTCTCCTCATCTCTTCTTCGTACTTGATAAAATTTTCCCCAAACCGTGTCCATGCTTTGTATGGAACCGTGATGGTGTTACGGTAGGGTGGCCTCACCTCACTTACCTTCAGGAAAATGCCATACCTGTTGGATCCCACGTCGAAGTAGAAGCGCTTGTTGTCCACTCGGAAGGAGGTGCCCTCGGGAAGCTCCGGGGGCTCATCGCCTCCCCCCCGGCGATCCTCTATGTCCCCCTCGCCATATTCTTCAATCAGCTGGACCAAAGCATCCCTGAACTCAATCATCCCTTGCGCTGGAAGGACGATCGTCTGCTCCTGTCCCAAGCTGTGGCCAAAATAACCCATCATGCCAGGTCCCCTACTCATGGTTTGTCTAATCCGCAAGAAGCGCCCTCGTTGATTCTCCTTCAGGTCCAGGTAATACTTTCGGTTGTCCCTCTCGATGTACTCCGTTTTGAGGACGCTGTGAGGGTGCTCTTCAGAGCCAACGGACACTGGAGGCGAAGGCGGTGGGTGTTGCTGTCGCCTCCGGGGATGCTGCTCTTTGCCATTGTTGTGCTCGTGCCGGTGACTGTGGCCGCCTTTCAGACCCAAGTGGGCATAGTGCTCGATGAAGTCCCCCAGGCAGTCTTTCAGCTCGGCAGCCACGGACAAGGAGAGGGTCAGCTTGCTTTTCCTGATATTGTCCTGCCTGCCTCTTCCTATCCAGACCTCAGCAATCTTCAGGAAGCGGCCTCGGGAGCTCTGTTTCACATCCAGATAAAATCGCTTTTTCTGGATGTCCACCCTCTTGGAGGCCAGCTCCTGGATCTCCATGCAGGCCCCCTGGGAGGAGGCCGGGTAATGGTACTGCTGCTGGGACTGGGAATAAATGCTCCTGTGCAGGCCAGAGCCTCCCAGGTTCCTTCCTCCTCCTCCTCCTCCTCCTCTCCCTCTTTCCATCTCTACCAATCAGCTGGAAATAATACATAACAGAGACACAGATGACAACATCAGCATCAGGGGCCTGCTCGCCTTCTCGGCGGCATCTCCGTTTGGCGCTGCTCTTCCTACAAAGACGCCTGCATCCCTCTCCGCTGCCACGGCACGCAGCATCGCAGCAAGAGGATCCCGGGTGCACTTCGCCTCCCCTGCTCCAGCTCCCGCCACCCGGACGACCTCCTCCCAGGCAAGGGAGCTCTCCTTCC